TTCCAACAATTAAAATAAATAAATATATAAATATATTTTGGTTAAAGTGAAAAATTAAATTATTATTATTATATTATTATTATACAGGATTTATATAGCGCCAACAGTTTGCACAGCGCTTTACAATAAAGGAAGACATTACAATCGCAATACAATACAAGACAAGATGGTAAGGAGGGCCCTGCCCCTGAGGGCTTACAATCTAAAAGGGAGGGAGAAGTGATACATGAGGAGGTAGCTGTGTGGGGATGAATTGTTTGAGAACGTAATGGTTCAGTGGTGAGGTTGAGGTGGGATTATGATTAGTTCCTACATTTTTTTTATTTTTTTCATAATAGTATTCTTTATTTTTGTTTTATTTTTTATTATAATGTTTCTTTTTGTACTAAAACACATGTATAATGCATTTTTTCTTATTTGTAACTGCAAGTAGGTTGGTCTTAGCAAACATGTATCAGATTGCAATGTTTCAATTCCTCTGTGCCGTTGTAAAGGTTTGTGTGTCAGTGCTGCTTTGCAATAAAGTTGTTTCTGTTCAGAAGGCTGTACTGACAACATCACTTCCTGTGCTGCTGTCAGCTTCGTCACTGTCACAATGGGTTATCGAGGAATCTTCCAACACAGCACAGAATTGCAGAGCAACCAGGAAATTCCTTTGCTGTGTCTCTGGTTGCTAGGCAATGTGGGTTTGGCCAGTGAAGGGATCTTGTGTATATATAGAGCAATGGAGCGTACTAGAAGCATGCAAAGCTACAGACATCAGAGCAAACGGATTCCAGAACAGACTCGTAAGCTCTACATCTGCAAATATGGGTGCCTTCTTCAGCAGCCTTTACCAAACTCTTATGAGTTTCTCTGGCACCAAGGCTCGGATCCTGATGCTGGGTCTGGATGCTGCTGGAAAGACCACGGTCCTCTACAAGCTGAAGCTGAATGAGACAGTCTGTACCATACCTACCATTGGATTCAACGTTGAGACTGTGGAACCCATCCGTAATGTGACATTTACTGTCTGGGATGTGGGTGGTCAGGACCGGATTCGAGCCCTGTGGAAACACTACTTTGTCAATACAGACGGACTAGTTTTCGTGGTGGACAGTGCTGACCCAGAGCGGTTTCTGGAAGCCAGGACAGAACTGAATGCCATCCTCGACAATGAGGAAATGAGAGGTGTGCCCTTTTTGGTGATGGCCAACAAGCAAGATCTCCCAGGTGCCAGGAAACCCATGGAGCTGGCGGAAGAGCTGGGACTGATGAAGAAAATAGGACATCAGTGGCATGTCCAGGGGTGCTGTGCAGCCAATGGGGAAGGACTGGTGGAGGGGCTGGAGGTCCTCACCAACTTTGTGAAGCAGTTTCAAAAGAACAGGACATTCTAAGAGGACTAAATTCACGTCTATCCATACTATCTCTACTTTTCCTGTCTATGGAGCTGGGACAGTATATAGGACAAACACAGTGCTATCAGATTGTTCTTCACAAGCCAAAGAGTGGAGGAACTGTGCAACCTACAGAGCCAACTTTCATGCTCGTCATCTTGCTCACCCTGTTGTCTCCACCATGTAAGACTATTAAGGGAAAGGTTTTCGTGACAACATCGAAGGAATCGGGTAAAGAACTGTTTAAAGGACTGGCTGCAGGAGTCGTCAAATAAAATTGTAATTGATGAATTTACAAATGAGTCATTTCATGGATACTTTTGACCAGAGAGGGTCTCCTTGTGTAAGTCGAAAATGATTAATCCTCTATTTTACAAAATATGTCAATGTACAATATGTCGGTGTCTATATGTCTATGTACAAAATATGTCAATTGTTTGGTATTTTACTTATATATTTTAATTTTATTAAAACAATTTATTTTGTATTATTTGTTGTATTATTTAAAGTTTTAAAATAACAGTTTTAGTCTCGTATGTCAAGGGTCTGATGGCAGAGCAGATTGTACTTTTTTCCTAACGTGCCATCTTTGTTTCCTGTTTTAACATGCCCTAGCAATAGAAAAGCATAGGTGGCCACACATACATAACAATCTAATTGTGCAAAGTCTGTGCTGTCGCTTGTAGATCTGCCAACAATCTGTGTAGCATTAGGTGCTATTTAAAAAGTCTATTCAGCTTACATCCAGTAAGGCGGACCGTGGCACTACTACATTGTTGTTGGTAAATCTAAAGGACATTGTGCGTTCTCATTGTAAGGTGACTGGCTTGAAGCAAATATATTGGGGGGAATTAACAATATCACAGGCATAATGGCTGAACCCCTCTTCTAAAATGGAAAAAAGGGGCAGATGCTGCTTCTAATTAACAAAAGGAATGCAAGCCCCTTTGTTAATAAGGAGCGATCTGCTCCATTTTCTATGCAGTGTATATGCCAGACACGGCATAGAGAGCAGGAGAGCTGACATTGCTTGCTTGGGTACCCTCTGCTCACCTCTCGGCCCCCCTTCTGCTCAGTAGTGACTGAAGCTGGCCATACACCTTACAATTATCTGCAGATTTTCTGTGGTCAGATGGAAAAGGTGCAACAGATTCTTCCATCTACACTTAACTGTGTGGATGGAGTAATCTCCACCTGGGCCAATCTGTTGCACTTTTTCCATCTGACCACAGAAAATCTGCAGATAATTGTAAGGTGTATGAGCACCTTGAGAGTGAGGAAGTAGGTTGTTAACACTGCACTTACTACGGATAATAAACCGGCATATAGACAGGGACAGGGAAAGGAGCTTTCTCTGCCTATATGCAAGGGATGCAATCTTGTGGGGATCTGAAGTCTTTTCCTACATTGTAATCTGCCACAATGCCTTTGTTAGTTAGGTGTAGAACTCGCTCCAGCTGGTATTGCAGACTGAAACAGAAACTGGAGTGGGTGGCTTGGATAGCACTGCAAGGGTTAACTGCTCATTTTGTCTAGGTGATAATCCTCAGTCATGCCGGGCTGTTAGATCCGTCCCACAGTCCCTTCTCCCCCGTGCCCCGGCAGTCTAAAGGTGCCCATACACCTTACAACCATCACAAGACTTTTGTCTTGCGATGGTTGTAAGGTAATTAAAAAAACGTACAATCTGCCCATCTTGGACAGGCAGATCGTACTTGCGATCATCGCAAGCCCGCCCCCCTGAGGGGCAAGCTTCCGATTACTGCAATGCTGAACGGGCAGTGTGCGCTTGCAGGTACAGGTCTATTAGACATGAGGACGCAGAGAGACATTTCACAGCCGGAGACAAAGGGGAGAGAGGTGAGAGATCACCAGAGGCGTGTCTATAAAAAATAGCGCTTATGGCAAGCACTGAAATTGCGCCCCCTTTACAAAAATTGCCACCGTGTTTTACATAACTTTACCATAATATCAACTCAAAAATACAAGTGAAAATCGCATCAGAGTCTTCCCTTATATCAGATTTCCCAGAGTTGCCCTTTATATCATATTCCCCAGAGTTCTCCCCCTTACATCAGAGTCCTCAGTGCCCCCCCTTAAATCAGAGTCCCCCCTTATATCAGCATCCCCAGAGACCCCCTTTACACAGGAAGCAAGGGACATTTTAAAGACTGAGATGTAATGGGGACTCTGATGTAAGGAAGAACTCTGCAGACTCTCTTGTAAGGGGGACTCCGGGCCCTACGCCGCCCTACGCTCACCCAACCTGTTAGTCCATACATGTGCGGTTGTCTGTACTTGTACGCTGACAGGATGGATCCTGTCTGCGCCCGAGCAGGGACACCCGCACCGTAAGGCATGTAGCTGTGTGAATGAGGCCTAATGCACAATAATAAAATAGAGGCATCTAACCCTGAGAAAGCGAGAGAGAGAAAAAAGAATAAACATAAACAATCCTATACATTCTCATGGGGACTGTTCATGCAATCGCGCGGCTCCACGCGATCCGAACCACCTGCCGCACAAAATGCATCCTGAGCTACTTTTTTTCGCGCTGATCAGCACATCTTCCATATAGATTTCAATAGAAATGCGCTGATCAGCACGTTTTTGATCGCTTTTAATTGCATTTCAGCTCGACCAAAAACAGCCCAAAAACGCTCTTTCAAAAATGAGGCTTAACACTTTACTTTAATACTGCCACACCAATGAGAGGCTGAGGAAAGGGGGATTATAAAAAAAAATTAAGGAACACTAAACTGTAAATAACGATTTATGTTATAAATGGTTTTTGCGCTGTGTTGGTGTTTGTGTTGTGATAAAATGATACAGGCGTATATTTAATTGCAACACAAGGTATCACAACGCATGGCAATGCGTCACAAAGCTTTGCCATGTGCTGCCACAGTTAAATTAATGTTTTTTTACAAAAGAAAAAAATCATGCACTGAGATGCGTTCTAACAACGCACTGCAGCGCATGTGCATGGCATACACCGCATCGGTCGCTATGGTGGTAGTTCCGCCACTGGCTGTACTAAGTATAGAAACAATACTTTCAAAGGACCACTACAAGTAAAACAAAAGAGCCAGTATTCTACCAGGACAGGAAGTCATCTATTAGTTGGAAAATAAAGATTTAGTGTCTTATGCCATATAAATAAACAGGAATAATGTTGTACCGTATAATGTCTCGTACAGAATATGGGTATATGAGCTATATATTATAGGGAATAGGCTAACGGATAGGAATAATAGGAGAGGACATATACAACTTCAAGAATATATAAACAAAACAGCCCTACCAGAATTACATACAAACATGGTAGAATCCCTTTGTTCCCCATTTACATTGGAAGAAATAGAGAACGCAATTGCGTCCTTACCCTCTGGAAAAAGTCCCGGCCCAGATGGGCATGAAGGGGCATTCTATAAACAGTTTAGAGAGGAATTGGCTCCAATCCTTAACTCAGTTTCTAATGCTATCTCAGAGGGGTGTCCTTTTACAAGACAAACACAGGAGGCACATATACTACATATAGCATTACCTCTTCAACCATATATTCCATCCCTTATCCATTTAGACCAGGTAGGTTTTGTTCTGGGAAGAGAAGGAGATAAAACAATAAAGACACTCTCATTAATCCATCTGGCCAGACACGTAAGATCCCACTTTACTTGCTCTTGATAGATGCAGAAAAGGCGTTTGATCGCTTGGACTGAAGATTTCTCGAGGCAACATTTAGGCCGACTGGGATGCCCTCTTCCTTTATATCAAAAATCTTAGCACTCTATTCCTGCCCTACTGCAAGGATACCGGTTAATGGATATTTATCGGAACCAGTACAAATTACTAATGGGACGCGACAGGGACATTTGGCCAGAGCTGTGCGCATGAATGGAAATTTTAGGGGCATAGAGGTAGGAGACAAGTGCTATAAAGTGAGTCTGTTTGCAGATGATACACTTCTCTATATTTCTAATCCAAGGATAGCCTTTCCCACACTTTTTAAGGAGCTGCAACTTTAGGATTAATGCTTCAAAATCAGAGTGTTTACATGTTTCATTACCAAGTAAAGAGCAGACAGTTCTCCAAGCTAATTTCCCTTTTAAATGGGCTGCTCGAGGGCTATGGATCTGTATGAATTTAATTGTTTGCCCCTTTTAAATGACACACAGTACAAATTGACACTATGGGCCTGAATGGGCCTCACTCATGGATGGGTAGAATAGCTTTATTAAAAATGGATATCTTACCACATTTTCTTTATCTATTTCAAACAATACCAATTAAATTGCTGAGGACCTTTTTTCGATTATTGAGATATATTTTTGTCAAATATGTGTGGAACGCCATCTTGGTGATGCATAGACGGGAGGGAGGGGTCGGGCTCCCACACATGGAATTATATGATATGGCTGCAGTCCAGAGACACATGTTAGATTGGATTTATCAAAATAATACCAAATTATGGGTAGCAACCGAACAAAATGCTACTCAAATACCTCTATTCTCTATCACATGAGAGACGCCTAACCAAGAGAATTTTAATGCTGTTAGTAAGAGATCTGCTTACAATATGGGATAAGGCCCTTTAAAGTGTCATGCTATGTGGGCCCCCTTACAAATATTTTAGGTAATCCAAATGTCCCCCCTGGCAGGAGCTTATTAAGGTTCTTGAAGTGGACCAATGCAAAACCATATCCAATTAGACAAGCATTAACAAAAGATTGACTGAGGCCTTTATCAGATATAAGCACAGAGGATTTATCGGAGGGATCGTGGATACAGTACCTTCAATTGGAACATTTCTTTAGGTCACTCTCTACAAGGGGAAACGTGATGCAGAAACTGACAGCATTGGAAGATTTGTGTGTAAACAGGGGAGGAGAAACCTATAATATATCTATACTATAAAATATAGTATTGAAACAGGTATACTCCACTCGTCCATATTATACTAGAATGTGGGAACGAGAACTAGGACATGAGATCTCAACATAGGATTGGAATCGATCTTTTGCTTTAACATTTAGATCTAATATCTCGAGTAAAGCTCAAGAACAAAACTTTAAAATAATTTTGAGACGGTATAGGTGCCCGACTACCCTGCATAGAGTTT